GTACATCATAGTAAAGACTTACTATTTGTCTGTTCACAGCCCTGAGCTGGGCAATTATGTGCTGCCTTTGCTGTTGCAGCAAAGGCAGTCCCGGTGCAGGAGGAGCTCCTCCTGGACGGAGCACGGGTGCCACTCCAGGAGGGAGCACCGGCAGGCCTCCATCTACTGGAGGTGGCGGGCCTCCAGCTCTTGGGAGTGCTGGAGGTGGTGCAGGCCCTCCATCTCCGGCCACTGGAGGTGGCAGACCTCCAGCTGCTGGTAGAGCTAGCAGTGGTAGCGGGCCTCCGGGAGGTGGTGGTGGAGGCCCTCCATCTCCAGCTACTGGAGGTGGCCGACCTTCAGCTACTGGTAGAGCTGGTGGTGGTAGCGGGCCTCCGGGAGGTGGTGGTGGAGGCTCTCCATCTCCATCTACTGGAGGTGGCAGACCTCCATCTACTAATGGTAGAGCTGGTGGTGGCGGGCCTCCTGGAGGTGGTGGTGGTGGTGCTGGAGGCCCTCCAACTAATGGTGGTCCGCCATGATACTCATCATAATCCATATACTACCAAGCAATATGAAAATATAATGATAGCTAATGTAATTTTGTAAATGAACTGACTTGCTGCTTTTGAGAAAAAAGATTGTAAAACTGTGGGAAAGTTAAGCGGGAGCTGTGAGTGTGAGTGGAGAAATGGCAACTGAAGCTGAATGTAAACTTAAATAGTTTTAGAACAGGAAATAGATCTTAGTATTGTTCGATAATGATTAATAATTATGAGCTATTATAGGCTATGAATATAATTAATGATTCAAAAATTAAAAAAATAATTGTATGACGACTGTTTTTATAATGTGGTAGGTCTTCTTATAGTTCTTATTTCAAAATTCTTTTCTTTCAGCAATGAACTGATACCTAAGGCAAAAATTATAATTATTAATAAAAAGGATTACTAATTAATTAATAATGATGAATAATTATAAGAGAGGCTATGAATATAATTAATGATTCAATAATTCAGAAAATTAATAATGTCAATATTATTTAAAATTTTTATCAACAATAATAACAGCAATAATAATTATTAATTATTAATAATTTTATAAATTAATTATTGATTATTAATAATTATTGATAAAAAGGATTATTAATTAATAAAATTTAATAAAAAGTATGGAAACAAGTAAATAAAAAAATTTCTATTAACCCTTTAACACCGATAGACGTACTTGTACGTCAATAACATGAGGGGGTGTGGTATAATTGTTATTTTCTTTTTTATTTATGGAAATATAACATTCTAGATAGCTTTAAAAGGTTCTCCTTTCATCTCTCTAACATATATAACATTGTCAAAGACTAAAAACAGAGTATATAGGTAGAAAAGTCCAGTAGCGCGACCCAAACTGTTCAAAATGATTAGCGGCCGAGGTAAGTCACCTAAAAAATGACACAACAACAAAAGACAGAATGTTTAGACTTACCTTTGGCTTGTGAAATCCTCTAGAAGTGAGTAGAAAAGGCGAGCGGCTAGAGAGAGCTGCTTTGCCTAACATTTCAATGGAGAAAAGCGGTAGGTGTGGCCACATTTTGCTTAGCAACGGCTTAGCAACCATGGCTTCTCGACCAGTCACAGTGGTGTTTCTACTCGTAGCATCTTCTTCACTGACTTCTGCCTCTTCATTCTTTCATATCCTGCCTACTAGGTCCTGCTTTACATGATACAACTCTCTCTTTCCCTTCGCCAAGTCCGTGTATTTGAGAAAAGCGGTGAGTATCTTTACAATAGACGCTGCATTGCTTTATGCCGCTTCATTTACTATTATACTTCTTCTATCTAAGGAT